CTCATCATCTTCATAATCTTGGTTTGGGGTGTTTTGTTTATTTGGAGGCATCATAGTGTCATTGTTGATCTTGTTCCCTTGATTTCTGCGTTTGTTACTTGGCATAGTTAATTCTTCTTGCGTCACTGTGAGTTTTATTTTATTTTATTTTATACTATGTCCGTGTTAAGTGGACTGCCTGCTGTTGGAGGAGCCTTGGAGGCTTGAGATGGGTGTGGCCTGAGAGCTCTGCTTGGTTCTTCCTGGTTAAGGGTGTGCAAAGGTGACACCCTCAGGTTATGCATGGTAAATCTCTCTCTTTTTATTTATTTATTTATTTTATGTATTCAGGGGTAAGTAACACCGCAGGGCACAGCTGTGCAGAATTGATGGTATTTGGCTTCCAGTCTTTGGCTCCTCTGGACTCCCACTGGGTTGCCTAGGCTACTGAATTGTAGTGACTCAGTTCCTTAGCTCTCCCCCATTGATATGTAAATCCAGAGAGGGGGCCTGCTCTTTGTCTCTTGGGAATTCTTCAAGCCTTGCAGCCTTGTAACCTTTGCAAGGTTAGGGGGAAGAGAAACCCCGAAGCTTTTTTTTTCCTTCTTTCCGGTAGTGAGTTTGCTGCACTTTCCGGCCCCCCTCTAGATTCTGACCCCCGTTTCCCCACCAATGTCTCGGGTTATTGAGCTCACCTCCCCTTCCAGTGCCGATGTGTGGACTCAGAGCCCTGAGCGTCCCAAGTCTCCCCGCTGTTGTCTGTGTGGCATGCACTCCCCTTCCTGCTCCTCCTCTTCTGATCCAGCTCTCTGCTATGTCCTGAGAAAGCAGTGGAAGATGGCCCAAGTCCTTGGCCTCTGAACTCAAGTGGGAGACCTGGAGGAGGCTCCTGGCTCCTGGCTTCAGATAGGCCCAGCTCCAGCCGGTGTGGCCCTCTGTATCTTTCTCTTTACGTAGAATCCTGACTGTGTTGAAAATTAACTGAAATGTGATCCCTGTTAAACATAAGAGTGGGAATAAGAGAGGGAAGAGATGTATAATTTGGGGCATGCTCGGGCTGACTTGCCCCAATTGGTAGAGTTGGAAACATACCAGGGGGTTCCAGTTCAATCCCATCAAGGTGGCATGTGCCAATGCCATCTCACTATTCCAAGTGATCAATTTCAGTTCGCAATTGATCATAATGAAAGGACAAAGAGTCAAAGGGAGCACATAAACAAGTCTAGTACCTGCTAACACTAACCGATAGAATAAATAAAGGGGAGAGTGATCCAACATGGGAAGTGAGATACTCAGCAGACTCATAGAATGGCGGATGTCCTAAATAGCACTCTGGCCTCAGAATCAGCCCTAAAGGCACTCGGATCTGGCTGAAAAGCCCATGAGAGTATATCAGGCATGGAAAGCCAAGACATTCTGGCAAAAAGATCTCTGTGAGTGAGATCCCAGTGGAAAGAACAGGTCTTCAAAGAGGGAGGTGCCTTTCTCTGAAGGGAGGAGAGAACCTCCACTTTGACTATGACCGTGTCTAAACAAGATAAGAGTCGGAGAACTCAAGGGGCTTCCATAGCCTTGGAAACTCATGACTGGTGCATAGGGAGATTACTGATGCCATAGACAGGAGTGTCAATTTGTAAAGTCAACAACAGGAGTCACTGTGCACTTACTCCTCATGTAGGATCTCTGTCCTTAATGTGCTGTACATTGAGGCTTAATGCTATAACGAGTACTCAAACAGTATATTTCACTTTGTGTTTCTATGGGGGTGCAAACGATTGAAATCTTTACTTAATGTACACTAAACTGATCTTCTGTAAAAAAAAAAAGAAATTATCAATTCCCAACTTGACTCTCACTGGGATTAAACATGACAATAGGTCTGATCTGATTTCATCATCATTAAAAAAAATCATTTATTATTTTTCACTTTATGTTTCTGTGTGGGAGCAAACTGTTGAAATCCTTACTTAATGTATACTAAGCTGATCTTCTGTATATTAAGATAATCAAAAATGAATCTTGATGTGAATGGAAGGGGAGAGGGAGTGGGAAAGGGGAGGGTAGTGGGTGGGAGGGACGGTATGTGGGGGAAGCCATTGTAACCCATGAGTCGTACTTTGGAAATTTATATTCATTAAATAAAAGATAAAAAAAATGTAAATGTGATTGAATTAAGTGCTGTTTTGTTAATGCCCTTTTAGGGCTCCTCAGCAAACAGGGCAGTTACAGCTCAAATAGTAATTATTTGAAAGGATTCAGTAGTAAAGAAATACGTATTTTATTTATTTTTTCACCATTCACTTCATAACTTGAATTTTTCTTTAGTAAATGTTTAAGAAGACCCAGGAACAACAAAGCATAAAGTATTTTCAGTATTATTTGAGAAGTTATATACTGAACCAAGTTGTATAAGATCTTGACTGTTTATTTTAGGAAAAGAAAGTGTGGATTCCATATTAGTACATTTTAGCATTGTACAGGACCAGGTATATTTTTGAAGAAATACTTTGAGTTCATTGTCCTTAGGGTGCATTAGTTCTGCTGCTTGTCTAACAGCTCTATCAAATATATGTGAGAACCATTGTGTACCTTGAAGCTCATTTGAATATTAAACTCTATCATCTTTTCTATAGTAAGTATAGAGAATTTGTGCTTGGGTAGTTTGTGTTCTTGTTTGTATCCATATTCCATCTCCCTTCCTGAGACTGGGTCATTTGTTTCCTCAGATCCCAGGCTGGCTTTAATGTGTAGAATAGTACCTTGTATGTAGGAAGCACTTCAGAATGTGGCAAATGAGAACATTTTTACAATTTGTTTATGAATTCTAGAAATGAGATGATAATTGAAACACTTGACATCTTTATTTTCTGCCACTCGGAATCAGTGTAAATAGTCGTTCAAGTGTCACAGACACTACAAAAGTGTGGCACACAAGGCACTACATGTGCCTGTGGAATTCTGGAAGGGCAGCATCACAGCGGTGATGCGCCTATACTGTTGTGGTATTTTCATTGTGCTCATCCTCCTTTACAAATGCTGTAGTTATCCAAATCCCACTTTTAGTCCTAAAGGGTAACATAAAGCTAGAATTTGACATGTTAAATAATAGAAAGATTCCCTGATCAGAACCTGTCACAGCTGATCAGAACAAGCAAAAACATGAATGTAAAAGATAGTTAAATAAACATTCATGAATTAGCATGTAACTGAGGAATGTTAATATGACAATATGTGAACTATATGATGGCAATACTATTAATAAGGGTAGTGCTGAATTTGAGTGTGTGTACGTGTGTCTGTATGTGTGTTGCTAGGGAAGAACCACATATTTAAGTCCTTTAGGGGCTAAACCACAGAGATACATACTGGTATACAGTAATAAGAAGAACAGATTGGGAGGAAATTTTTGTTGGAACCAAATCCTGCATTTTAAGCAATTGGAATTAAATTACAAGTTGACATAACTGGGGAGAAACAGGAAAACTGACACATTTCACTGAAATCTATATACATGAGTCAATAGTTTGAGTCCATCAAATTACCTCACGTGTGGGTGGCAGTAGACTCAGGTCGGTTTGGAATGAACATAGGTTAGTGAAGATGTAGCTATTTGGCTGTACCCCTCTGAATAAGCTCTAGAATGTATTTTTTCTTCCAACATGTCCATTGGTGAGCTCAGAGCTCCATTCTCTCCTGTGTCACTTTTAGAGCAGCCCCCGAATATCCCTGATACCATCCAACAAGATGCCTCCCAGGGCTTATTGCTCAATCAGACACTGTCCACGTCTCGATCCTGGTTAATTTAATCAGAATTCTTCCTACTTCTTTAAGGCTGCAATAGGAACTTCCATTAGGGGGTTCCTTATTTGTTGTGTGGTGATCTAAACATGAAATTTCAACACATAAACTTTATGGAAAGTTTGATAAAGCATAAAAGCACAAGCTTTCTTGTTCACCTTTTAAAAATCAATTCTTTACTTTTAATACAACTTGCTAGTTCATATTCATTCATTGTTCCACAGAGCTGAAGCCTGTACATGGGCACAGGAGCCCAAAGACTTGGGGCATCTTCTGCTGCTTTCCCAGGCAAATTAGCAGAGAGCCAGACTGGAAGTGGAACAGCTGGGATTTCACTGGTGCACATATGGGATGCAGGCATCACAGGCAGCAGCCTAAGACTACACTGGCCCTTGAAATATATTTTCATGCTAGTTGATCCTGAGCTATATGGATACAATTGGTTTTTCATACTTATTAAGTTTAGTGTTACTTACTCTGTCCTGCGAATCAGCCCAAACCTTTCCTGGTCTGGCTGAAAAGCCAGTGAGAGCTTTTCTGACATGGAAAGCCAAGACACTGTGGTAAAAAATATGTTCTACAGGAAGGATCTCTGTGAGTGAGACCCCAGCAGAAGGAAGTGGCCATCAAAGAAGGATGTACTTATCTCTAAAGGGAGAAGAGAACTTCCACTTTACTTATGGCCTTGTCTAAATACTGATGGAGTTTGTGCATTCGAAAGCCTTTTATAGCCTAGCAGTTCATGTCAAGAGCCCTGGGTGGTACGGACATCATACATAAGAGTGTTAATTGTAAAATTAACAACAGCAGTCACTGTGTATGAACTTCCCATGCAGGACATCTGTCCTCAACGAGTTGTATTTATGCAAGGTAAGTGTAAAACTAGTTCTCGGGTTTTTTTGTGTGTGTGTATGCAGGTATGTGCACATTGTTGAAATCTTTACTTAGTATAGAGTTGGTCTTCTGGGTTCAAAGTTAGTTAAAAATGAATCCTAATAGAGAGTGGGACTGGGAAGGTGAGAGAAAAGAGGAGGACGGGTGGGAGTATGGGTGGGAGGGTGCGTATGGTGTGAACAACAACTATATTCCTAAAATTGTAATTATGAAATTTGTATTCTTTTACAAACAAATTAAATAATTAATTAAAAAGAAATTTAGTGTTACTTATTATGCTAAATTTTGAATTCATCCTCTACATATAAAATGAATATGCTTGGATTCTATACAAAAGAAATCAGTTAATTATTTTCTTCATTATTTTCGATTTTAGTTGGCATGAGTTATTCATACTTTCAATATTTGCTTTCAAACATTTGCTGTGATAGTATCATTGTTCATTGGGGCCAATGAAAAAAGAGTAAGTCTTTGGCTTCAGCATTCTAACGTGCCACTGCACTTAGAATACATAATTAAATGTTGTGATAAATAATTATTCTGTCATTCTTCTCCTATAAAATTGCTCACCCATCAGGTAACTTGATTTCTGCATTTTTATACAAATACTAGAATAATTGGTTAGTTGGCAAAGGAACATTTAACCCAAACACTACTGTAACCCAAATAGACAAGAAAATGATATATCATGTAGGAACAAGGTAAATATGGATGAAAATTCTTAGAAAAATCTGAAATAGCCATGCGAGAAGATATACTCAGCCAGCATCCAATGCCTCTCAAGAAAATACAAAGAATGTATTCTTCTAGAAGGCATTACTGAGTGCGAAAAAAAATGGGTAGAAGTAAGAAAACTTAAGCTTCCTTGATGAACTACATTAGCTCCATTTCTTTCCAGGACCTACTGGCTTTGCGTGAGCTACTGCCCTTGTGACTGCATGCCATCCAGGGCTCTGACCATGGGAATCATCTTTGTCTCTCAGACAGGAGTCGGATTCCTAGGAAACATCCTGCTCCTTCTCTGCTATGGCTTCCTTTCCTGCACTGGACGAGGGATAACACACATGGATTTGATTCTCCATAACCTAATTGTAGCCAACTGCTTGGTTCTTCTTTCAAAAGGCATTCCTCAGACCATGGCAGCTTTTGGGCTGAAATATTTCATGGACGATTTTGGATGCAAACTAGTTTTCTATGTTCATAGAGTGGCCAGAGGGGTGTCTCAGAGTGCAACTTCTCTCCTGAGTGGCTTCCAGGCCATCACAATCAGCCCTAACAGCCCCCAGTGGATGGAGCTCAAGGTCAAAGCCCTCAAATCTGTTCGACTTTCCATCGTCCTCTGCTGGACCCTTCACCTGTTGGTGAATAGTATTGTTCCTATGTATATTACAGCGATGGGGGAAAGCAACAATCTCACAGGGAAAAAAGACTTAGGGTACTGTTCTGGCATAATTATTGACAGAAGTATATCCTTATTGTATTCAATGATGTTTTCCTTCACTGATGTGTTGTATTTGGTGTTAATGATTTGGGCCAGTGGCTGCATGTTGTTCATTTTGTACAGACATAAGCAGAAGGTCCTACACATTCACAGCAAAAGCCTCTCTCCCAAATGCTTCCTGGAGACAAGAGCCACCCACAGCATCCTGATGCTAGTGAGCACATTTTTCTGTTTTTATGCACTGTCTTCCTTCTTTACTTTCTATATGTCCCTCTTTGATAAACCCAGCTGGTGGCTGGTGAATACCTCTGCCCTTATGGGTTCATCTTTCCCCTGTGTTAGCCCCTTTGTGCTCATCAACAGAGACCCCCATGTCTCTAGGCTGTTGTATACCTGCGGCACAAAGATCAATGAGTTTTGTAAATGGGTCATAGCATGAAAATCCAGAATGCTGCATACTGTCCATGTATCAGTTCACCCTGCCATATTTTATATAGTATTTATATTTGCTAAATCAGTTAGCGGCTAGGATCAAAACAAGATAGACTGAGTGTGATCACAAAATTATTTCATTTACAGATAGCCAGACATGCAAAAGGAGGGGCTTCTCATTTCTACTTTGCCTACATCAAATAAAGGTGTTTTTCTTTTCTTTTCTTTCTTTCTTTTTCCACAGGCAGAGTGGACAGTCAGAGAGAGAGAGAGAGACAGAGAGAAAGGTCTTCCTTTGCCGTTGGTTCACCATCCAATGGCGTCCGTGGCCAGCGTGTTGTGGCCAGTGCACCAAGCTGATCCAAAGGCATACTGGCTGTTGAGTGAGAACTGACTCCAGAAGAAATAAAGGTGTGTACAAGGATAGCATTCAGATGAGCAGTGCAGAAAGTCAAGTAAGAGAGAATGGAGGAAGGTGGGTTCAGATTCTAGCAGTTAGGATTCCAGTTAGGATGCCCAGAGTCCCTGTGCTCAAGACCTGATTTCTGCTCCTGCACACCTGGGAAGCATTAGTTGAGGGCTAAACAAGTTGGATTCCTGCCGTAAGAGTGAGAGAGCTAGACCCATTCCTGGCTTTCAAATTCATCCTGGTTCAACGACAATCACTGGAAGAATCTGATGTAGTGTGTCAGCAGAAGAGAGCTGTCTGTCACTCCCTGTATTCCTGTCTTTCTGGTTATAAATGAATACAATAAAAATTTTAGGAAAAAATTTGTGCTTTGCCAATGCTGGCGGCTGGTATGGTGATGAAAGTTACCTGTAATCTTGATGAATTTTGTAGATGAAACCAGCAGAAATGCTTGTAGAATGGGATGCATGGAGTGAGGAAGCCTTAATGTGCTAAGCATGGTGTTGTGATTTTGTTCTCAGTTGAAGGATACAGCTGTAATCAACTGAGCTAGGGCAGGATACAGTCAGAGAAGAGCTGGAAAAAAGGTCGGGAATGAGGTTTGACTAGGTGGAGTTTGTGACTTTGTTGGACATCCACGACTAGGTTACAGATGAATGTGGAGTTGTGGAGGGAGATCTGGAAAGAGGGAAACTTTGGAAATGTTTGCTTTCTTCTATTTATTGTTGATACTGGAAAAGATTCCCAATATGATGTACATAAATCTAGGATTAATGATTGAGGTGTGGGGTCTTTTCTTATTAAGCAATAGGAGAAGTGGAGGAACTCGCCAACCCAATATAAAAAAAAATTGAACTACATCACCTGTATCTACAGCTACTGAGAAATTTAAGTAAAATATAAGATATGATTCTTGGCTTAGAGGTTTGTTCATGTATTAGATTTGCAGGTAAAAACCTCAGATTAGAATTTGTCCAGAAGTGCATAGGAACTGAAGAACTGGAAAGACTAAAAATGTTCCAAAAATGTTCCCTTGTGAAAAGTGAGAAGAGAAATCACAGAAGCATGAAACATACAGGATAAACAAGCTAGCATAGTTATTTTAAGAAGAGTAGCACTGGGGCTGGTGCCGTGGCTCACTGGTTAATCCTCCACCTGCAGTGCCAGCCTCCCATATGAGCACCAGGTTCTAGTCCTGGTTGCTCCTCTTCCAGTCCAGCTCTCTGCTGTGGCCCAGGAGGGCAGTGGAGGATGGTGCAAGTGCTTAGGTGCCTGCACCCACATGGGAGACCTGGGGAAGCACCTGGCTCTTGGCTTCAGATCAGCGTAGCTCCGGCTGTAACATCCATCTGGTGGGGTGAACCAAGAGAAGGAAGACCTTTCTCTCTGTCTCTCCTTCTCACCTTGTAAATCTTTATGTCAAAAAAAAGAAAGAGGAGCAATGCCATTTGTAAAAGAGACTGAAAGATATTGAGGAGCTGTAACATGCTGGTAACCTTTTTTTTTAAGATTTATTTCTTTGTTTGAAAGAGTACAAGGAGAGAGGAGAGGCGGGGGGACGGAGGTTCCTTTCACTGGTTCACACCCAAATTGGCTGCAATGTCCAGAGCTGCGCCAATCCGAAGCCAGGAGCTTCATCCAGGTCTCCCATGTGAGTGCAGGGGCATAAGGACTTGGGCCATCTTCTACTGCTTTCCCAGGCCACAGCAGACAGCCGGATCAGAAGTGAAGCAGCCGGGACTCAAACCAGCTCCCATATGGGTTGCCAGCACTTAAACCATGGATTTAAACGCCTGCGCCATAGAGTCAGCCCCAACTTTTGATTATCTGTTCAGAGATTTGATGAACCAAGAGTCAGAACACTCAGAAGGGTGTCTGGGCAGAGGGAAAGCAATAGTGGCCGTCCTCCCAAAAAGAAGTGATTTTCAGTTTCAGTGGAACACAGCAAAGTTTCCATCACTACTCTTTCTTTCTGATCCTTGAGAGACAGCCAGTAATCGCTGGTAATTGTTTTTGGCAATTGGCAGAAGAGACAAAAGTTTCTTAGAGCTACCCTCAACTCCCCAAGCAGTCACTCTCATTATTGAAACAGGTGGTAGCCTAATCATGCTCTAGAGGGAAGCAAGGTGAGAGAATTTTAAATGACCTCTTCTGGGTTTTGCTGTCTTCCTCCTGCCTCACTCCCAACCTCTGAGTGTCATCATTGCTCCAACCTCCTTGAAAAAGGCAACACTTTAGGAGACTACATCTCCATCCTGGAGAGAGGCTCCCAAGAAAATGGCTCTGTATTGGGGCTGTAAGGAGAATCCCTGGAAACATTCTGAGCCTTGACAGAGGTGGCACTGGTGCTGGAGCATAGACATGAGAGTCCACTAAAAGAAGAGGGATGCTTGTTAAGGTCTGATCCAAACTCCTCAAGAGGAGCTGACTGTAAGATACCCCATGTCCATCCCTGAATCCTCCTGTTTCAGTAGCATGACCATCCATGACATTAGTTTGATATGGAACATGGCAATGAGTAGATCTGATGTTTGAGTTACTTTGAAAGGTAATTCTTTAGTTACAATTTCAGAGTTTATTGCAAATATTTCAGATGTCATAACTTGTTATCTCCATGTGTGTGATAAAGAATCATGAAATTTTCTAATTTCTCACCTCAAGGGCAACTACTAGGTGTTTAAAGGGGAGAGTGAGTGTTTGAAGACAGCTCTGATCCTTAGAAGTAATTTTCTGAATTGAAGAAAGGAAATCAGTTTTAAAGAGAAAAATGATTTCAGAAATACAGATATCAGATGCAAAATCATCCAATGACTTTAACAGATACATGATTCTAAGGTGACTTGCAATAGTTCCTTCTGGTTTCCAAGAACGTGCTGCAATCTACTGTCAAATATATTTATTCACCACTTAGTTCAGTTTTCTCATCCACAGATATCAATGTCTTCCTGTATTCCTTAATCAGTTGATGCAGTGAAGGATTGAGTGTGCCTGTGTATGTGTTTTCCTATGGAAGAAGAAAATGCTTAATTTCTATAGCAGCTAAAAGGGAGAGATATATACTGGTATATGCTAATGAATTGGTTGGGAGAAAATTTTTGGTTGGAAGCCAAATCCTGCCATTTTTCAAAAAGTGGGGGAGGAACTCCAAGTTGACAGAGCTTGTGTTGTTCAGCTAACTGGTGAGAAACAGGAACTCTGACACATTTCACTGAAATCTGACATATACATGTATGAATCAATAGTTTGAGTTCATCATATTACTCCATGCATGGGTGACTGTAAAGTGTGCTTGGTTTGGCATGAACACAAGTTATGGTGATGTCAAGAGCTTTGACCTTACCCATATGAATAAGAATAAAATATAATTTTTTAACATTTCCATTGGAAGTCCCTTAGCGCCAAATGCCACTCTTCCCCAAATCACTTTTAGAACAGCTATCATCTGACAAGAAATCTCACGGGGATGTTGATCAAATTGGACACTGTGTACATCCCTATCTTGGTTACATGATATTCTCACATTTTTTAAGACTGCAATATGAACTTACATTAGGGGTTGTAATGTGTTTTACATAACCCTAATTTTTAGCATATAAACTTAATGTAATAAAGGGCAAAGCACAGACTTTCTGTTTACATTTATTTTAAAGTGTTCTTTAAAGAGTTTTAGTGTAACTTGCTAATTCATTTTTATTAGCCTATTTATGCTTTTCATAGTTCAATTCTAGAAACTCAGGAATATTGTGAAAGAGAATTAGAATGCAATGATGTTTTAAGTGTGTTGTATAACACTGGAACTCATGCGGAATGGCCTTATCACAGGATGCTATGTCACTGTCTATTTAGAGTTTTATCATTACTTTCAAAATTATGTTGTCACTATACTGGAACAGAACTAGTTTGGAACATTCATTGTTCTGGTATTATGGTTCTCTTTATCATTCTTCAGGTTTTTCAGGGTTCAGGATATTGTAAAGTGTTTTTAATATATTTTCATGCTAACTCATCTTGAGCTATTTGGACACACTATTTTATTTCAGTGTCATTAATACTGTGCAAATAAAATCATTTAATATTTTCTCTCTTTATTATTTATTATTTTAATTTTCTAAAACTATTATTTTGGGTAGATTCTGAGGTTTCAAGTATTTTCTGTAGTGGTGGTGATGGTGCATTTGAGCCCAAATGAAACAAGAGCAAAACAAACCTTTGGTGTCACCAATCTAATATAGAACTGAACTTAGATCGGATGATTCAATGTTGTCATAATGAATTATTCTGCCACTATGCTCTGATAAGTCAAGTCACCAATACTGTGATTTGAATTTCTACTTTTTCATAGAAATACAAGACCGCTTAGGGAATAACTGGATACTCAACAATGATGGATTTGATGAAAGCTCTATGTAGAAGAATATTGTAACACAAATGGGCAAGAAAATGATACAGTATACAGAAATAAGGTAAATATGAATGAAACTATTAGAAAAACCCAAACACATACAAACACACACAGGACAATATATACACAGTATTCATCTTCAGAAAATGCAAAGAATATATATTTGTATACAGCTTTTCTGAGTGGGAATAATTGTTAGTTGCAGATGCAGAACCTAAATTTCCTTGATGAAATCCACTATTGGCTTTTCTTTGCAGGATTGACCTGCTCTGTGTGAAACTACTGTCCTTGTGACAGATGCTTCCCAGGGCTCTGACAATGGGAGTCATCTTTGCCTCTCACACAGGAGTCAGGATCCTAGCAAACATCCTGCTCCTTCTTTGTTATGGTCTCCTTTCCTGCACTGGATGGATGACAAAGCAAGTGGACTGGATTCTCCATAACCTAATTTTAGACAATTGTTTGGTCTTTCTCTGGAATGGATTTCTCAGACAATGGCAACTTTTGGGCTGGAGTATTTTATGGATGGTTTGGGGTGCTAACTAGTTTTCTGTGTTCACAGAGTGACCAGAGGGTGCTCCCCTGAGACTACAGTCACTCACAACATCCTGATCCTAGTGAGCACCTTTTTCTCTTTTTATGTGCTATCTTCCTTCTTTCCTTCTATACGTCCCTCTTTGATAAAGCCAGTTGGTGGCTGATGAACATCACTGCCCTTATGGCTTCAAGTTTCCCATCTTATTCCCTTTCTGCTGATCAACAAAGACCCACCTGTCTCTTTAAGTGTTTGCAGCAGCAGAAAAATCAGTGATTTCCATAAATGAGTCAGAGCATGAAAATGTGCAATGCTGAATGTGTCCATGCAAAAACTTGTCCTTCCCTATCTTTAAGTGTTTACTGGCTAAGTAAGTTTGTGGACAGAAGCAGAAGCATAATAGCAGAGCTTGATCACTGTGGCCGGCGCACCGCGCTGATCCGATGGCAGGAGCCAGGTACTTATCCTGGCCTCCCATGGGGTGCAGGGCCCAAGCACTTGGGCCATCTTCCCCTGCACTCCCTGGACACAGCAGAGAGCTGGCCTGGAAGAGGGGCAACCGGGACAGAATCCGGCACCCCAACCGGGACTAGAACCCAGTGTGTTGGTGCCGCAAGGCGGAGGATTAGCCTACTGAGCCGCGGCGCTGGCCAATCACTGACTTACTTTTAATTTAGCAAACAGCCAGGCATGAAACAAGGGACGATTCCTCCCTCTACTTTACATAGCAGACCTGGGTAATTTCATCTTAGTCATTGTCCTCACATGTCCTTTCTCCCTTATGAGTCTTGCTGAATCTCACATCTCTGATTTTCTCTTCCTGGAATCCTTATTGAGACATTGTGATAACAAAGTTTACTCCCAGGTTTACTTAATTGAAGAAATACATGAAATGAACTCCTGAACATAGGTCTCCTGCCTTCACTCTGATCCTTCTGGGGTCTAAAAAAAGACTTTGGGAATACATTTCTGACATGGTTACCTGCTCAAGGTCATTGGATGAATCTTTCAGCATTTCAGACCCAGCAAGATGCTACTGATGATGGCAAAAGCATGTGTTGTAAGTGTGGTGCCCTTAGATACATTCCAAACATGATTTAACAAATCTAGCTAGTATAGGAATTGGAGAAAAACTTGAGAGGTATGAATGCAGACTTTATGTCTCAAAGGACAATTCTGCCTCAGCCAACTGGAAAAACCCAGAGGGGAAATAAGCAAAGCGTCTCAGGGTCACTCATGTCATCCTTGCAGACAGGGTCTTTCTAAATGAGGCTGTGCACAGCAGATTCCACTGTGACTGAAGAGCATGCAGCTCAGAAAGGTTCTTTTGGACAAAGCAGAGCAGAACAGGTTGCAACAGAAGGCTGGAACTTTTTCTCTGCTTATAAGAAGGTAATAGGCAAAAGTGTTCATTTTGAATTCCTGAAGTCTCCGTGGTAACCAGAAATAAGTAAATATAATATCATTCAAAGTTTGCAAAGATGTGCAAAATGTTAATATCGCTTAAAGCTCTTATGAGGAACTAGTTTATGTATCCAGAGAGAGATGAGGCAGGCATAATGAAAGGAAGGCATGTTGTAATTCATGAAAAAGACGAGGTGAGAATGACTGCTGAGACAAGGGCATTAAGGTGTAGGGAGTGAGAGAAGGCACCCAAGCACAGGGCCAGGTTGTGTTTCTAGGCAATCTGAGGGTTTTGTCTCCCATTTCTGATTACATTGAACTTCTCAGGACTATGCACAGTTGCAGCCTTGAGGAATGATGAAAATGAGGGGCAGGATTGAAGAGAACTGCCAGCATGTTAGTCATGAATCAGGACAAAGTCAACAAACTGCTATTGAGGGCTGGCATTGTGGTGCAGCTGGTAAGACCTTGCCTGGGACTCTGGCATCCCATATGGAGGCACCAGTTCAAGTCTGGGTTCCTCTGCTTCCAATCCAGCTTCCTGTCAAAGTGCTTAAGAAAGCACAAGATGGCCCAAGAACTTGGTCCCCTGACACCATGTGGGAGACCTGGATGGGGTTCCAGGACCTGGCTTCATGCTGTCCTGCCACAGCCATTGCTGCCATGTGCAAAGTAAACCAGCAGATTGAAATTACCTTTGTGTCTGAGTCTCTCTCCCTCTCTCCATTATTCTGCCTTTTAAATAAATAAATGATTTAAAGAAAAAACCACAGAAACCTTCATTCACTGTTTCAATAAACCTATGTTAAATACAGTGGTCCTGTATTCTCAAGGAATTAGTAACCCTCCCAAATCCAAGTTCCTACTGGAAACTAACAGCAAATCGTTTTTGTTTTTTAAAAAGCATTACAAAGAACAGCTATGTTAACTGCTTTCTATACACTCCTCCTAAATCAGACCCAGATTTACATGAGCTCCTAACAAATTGCTATCTTTTGGTAAGAGATTGAGCATCTTTTTTGTTATGTCTATTGTCTCTAATGATATCTTTAATGATATTTGCACAATAATCTCTTCTAACAATTGATTTTAATGTTATACAATTTAATAAGATGGATGCATAGGAATAAAAGTAACAAGCTATGTAGAAAGAATCCATTTTCTAATGGGTGTAGAGACTAAAGGTTTGGTGGTGTTCTCTGAAGGACTGTGTGGTCGAACTGAACAAGAATTGAAAGTGCTACCTGTTGGTTTTTATGATATATCTGGGTATCTAATGAGTTTGTTTATCCTGCTTACAGTTTGTTGAGCAATGGATTTTGTTGAGTAGCATGTTTCTTTCCTGTGCTCAGCACATTTGTCATCTGTTCATATATTTCCACTTCCAAGTTCTTTCCTTCAGTGAACTTTAATCAATTGTATGATAGTGCTTGAGAGAAAGTTTTGTGTGTTTTATTTGATGGCTAAATTAATGTCTGCATTCCGTCTCTCCCTTCTCCTTCTCCCAGTAAGAGGTCACCCATTACCAAAGACTTCTCTCTTCAGTCCTAACAGAGTATTTAAGCTTGGTGGGAAAAAAAAAAGTATATGGTCATGAAATGCAATGGTAACTTCAACACTAAAATTATTCATCCTAGAATCTTCTGCTGCCTTGAAGCTCTTTCTTAGTCTTGCAGTTGGTTCTAGACTTTCCCAGCCTTCCTTTCCTCCTTACCTACCAACGGTTTATTTTCTGGTAATTTTGTAAGATCCTATTTCTTTGTCCACATCAAGAATAAGGGCATTTCTCTAAATGATCGCTTCTGGGTTTGGCCGCCTCTACACAACACATCCTATGTCATCACTGGGACATCGTTCCCAGTAAAAGACAAAATTTTAGGAGATAATATCTCCATCCTGAGACAGATGCTCAGAGGAAAATAACTGTGTACCAGAACAGCAAGGTTGGATCTCTGAACATTATACTTCTTGACGAAGGTGACATTGGAGTGCTGACATGAGCTTCTGCACATAGAGAGGTGATGCTTGCTAAGGCAGATGAGAAACTCCAAGTCCACTTCTCAGTCCTCCCCTTTCAGGGATGTGATCACCCATGATATTGCTGTGATGTGGAATACGGCAATGCGAAGATGTGATGCTTTACTTACTCTGGGAGGTAATTCTGTCACTAGAATTCCAGGATGTTTTGCAGGAATTTTGGAGTCACACCTTATCATCTCAATGTCTGTGATAAGGAATCAGTTTCTAATCTCTCATCTCATGAGCAGCCAATAGGTAAGAAAATGGCCACTTTTGGAATTTAAAAAATTGTTACACTGATTGTGAACCCCTGACATGATTCAAGGAGAAAGTGAGCATTTGTCTTGAGAGAACCATGGTCCTTAAGAGGATTTATCCCTCTTGAAGAAAGGAAAGCAGTTTTAAAGAGGAAAGACAATTCCATGAATACACATTTCAGATGCAAAGTCATCAGTGCCCTTATCAGGCATATGATTTTAACATGACCTGTAATGGTTCTCTGGTTTCCAAGAATGTGTTTTAATGCGTTCTCAGGTCTATTTATTTGCATTAGAGTTCCATAATCTCATCCATATTTGCCCATGGCTTCCAGTATTCCTTAATCGGTTGATTTGGTGAAGTGCTGTATTTGAGTGTATACACATGTGTCTCTGTGTTTGTGTTGCTATGAAAGAACAACGTATTTAATACATTAGGGGCTAAACCACAGAGATACATACTGGTGTATGTTAATAAAAAGAAGAACAGGTTGGGAGGAATTTTTTGGTTTGGAAGCCAAATTCTGTATTTAAAGAAAATGGAATTAAACTACAAGTTGACATAACTTAGGAGAAACAGAGAATCAGACACATTTCACTGAAATCTACATATATGATTCAATAGTTTGAGTTCATCAAAATACCTCATATATGGGTGAAAGTAGACTCGGCTTAGTTTGGCATAAGTATAGGTTATGGGTGATGTAGAGGTTTGGCCTTACCCCACTGAATAAGCTATAGAATGCATTTTTCCTTCAAAATTTCCATTGGTGCACCTCAGAGCTCGCTTTTCCCCTATGTCATTTTAGAACAGCCACCGAATATTCTTAATAGCATCCGACAAGATGCCTCCTAGGAGATGTCTTCCAATTAGACATTGCCCCCGTCTCCATCTAGGTTAATTTAATCAGAATTCTTCCTATTTCTTTAAGCTGCAATAGGAACTTACATTAGGGGTTCCTTATTTGTTGTGTGGTGATCTAAACACAAAATTTCAACACATAAACTTTATGGAAACTTTGATAAAGGATAAAAGCACAAACTTTCTTGATTACCTTTTAAAAATAAATCCTTTACTTTTTTTAACTTTTATTTAATGAATACAAATTTCCAAAGTACAGCTTATGGATTACAATGGCTTCCCCCCTCATAACTTCACTCCCACCTGCAACCCTCCCCTTTCCCTCTCCCTCCCTCCTTCCATTCACATCAAGATTCATTTTCAATTTTCTTTATATACAGTAAATCAATTTAGCATATATTAAGTAAAGATTTCAACAGTTTGCACCCACATAGAAACACAAAGTGAAAAATACTGTTTGAGTACTCGTTATAGCATTAAGTCTCAATATACAGCACATTAAGGACCGAGATCCTACATGAGAAGTAAGTGCACAGTGACTCCTGTTGTTGACTTAACAAATTGACAGTCTTGTTTATGGCATCAGTAATCACCCTAGGCTCTTGTCATGAGTTGCCAAGTCTATGGAAGCCTTTTGAGTTCACCAACTCTGATCATATTTAGACAAGGTCGTGGTCAAAGTGGAAGTTCTCTCCTCCCTTCAGAGAAAGGTACCTCCTTCTTTGATGACCTGTTCTTTTCACTGGGATCTCACTCGCGGAGATCTTTCATTTAGTTTTTTTTTTCCCCAGAGTGTTTTGGCTTTCCATGCCTGTAATACTCTCATGGGCTTTTCAGCCAGATCCGCATGCCTTAAGGGCTGATTCTGAGACCAGAGTGCTGTTTAGGACATCTGCCATTCTATGGGTCTGCTGTGTATCTCGCTTCCCATGTTGGATCGTTCTCTCCCTTTTTTATTTTATCAGCTAGTATTTGTAGACACTAGTCTTGTTTATGTACTCCCTTTGGCTCTTAGTCCTAACATTATGATCAATTGTGAACAGAAATTGATCACCGGGACTAGTGAGATGGCATTGGTACATGCCACCTTGATGGGATTGAATTCGAATCCCCTGGTATGTTTCTAACTCTACCTTTTGAGGTAAGTCAGCTTGAGCATGTCCCAAATTGCACATTTCTTCCCTCTCTTATTCCCACTCTTATATTTAACAGCGATCACTTTTCAGTTAAGTTTCAACACTTGAGAATAACTGTGTATTGATTACAGTATTCAAGCAGAAGTATTAAGTAGAACAAACAAACAAACAAAAAATACTAAGAGGGATAACGTATTAAGTTTCCCGGGGGTCTGGATAGCGCAAGCCACCAGCTCCGAGTCCCTGTGGTTCAAGGTTCTGTCCCTGCTCCCACATACAGGCATCTCTCAGGACAACTGGCACAAGCGCTGCAAAACTGGGGGCAAAAGAAAGCCCTACCATAAGAAGCGGAAGTATGAGCTGGGCCGCCGGGCTGCCAACACGAAGATCGGCCCGAAGCGGATACATACAGTGCGAGTTCTTGGAGGCAATAAGAAGTACCGGGCCCTGCGGCTGGATGTGGGGAACTTCTCCTGGGGCTCCGAGTGTTGTACCCGCAAAATAAGGATCATTGATGTTGTCTACAATGCCTCCAATAATGAACTGGTGCGCACCAAGACCCTGGTGAAGAACTGCATCATGCTTATAGACAGCACGCCGTACCGACAGTGGCATGAGTCCCACTACGTGCTGCCTCTGGGCCTCAAGAAGGGGACCAAGCAGACTCCTGAGGAGGAAGAAATTTTAAGCAAAAAATGATCAAGGAAGATTCAGAAGAAATACGACGAAAGGAAGAAGAATGCCAAGATCAGCAGTCTGCTGGAGGAGCAGTTCCAGCAGGGCAAGCTTCTCGCATGCATTGCGTCAAGACCTGGCCAGTGTGGCTGAGCAGATGGCTATGTACTAGAAGGCAAGGAGCTGGAGTTCTATCTGAGGAAAATCAAGGTCCAGAAAGGCAAATAAGTCCTCCACCATGTAATAAAGTTGTTTATTCTAAAAAAAAATCTTTACTTTTAATGCAACTTGCTAGTTCATATTCATTCATCTTTATACTAGGCCAAGCCTGTTTGTGGGTGCAGGGGCCCAAACACTTGGGCCATCTTCTGCTGCTTTCCCAGGTAAATTAGCAGGGAGCCAGACTGGAAGTGGAACAGCTGGGATTTGAACTGGTGCACATATGGGGTGCAGGCATCACAGGCAGCAGCCTGACAGCACTGGCTCTTGAAATATATTGTAAGGCTAGTTGATCCTGAGCTGTATGGACACAATTGGTTTTTCATACTTTTTTATTTAGTGTTACTCACTCTGACCTCAGAATCAGCCCTTATGCTTCCTGGTTTGGCTGAAAAGCCCATCAGAGCTTTTCTGACATGGAAAGCCAAGACATTGTGGTAAAAAATGTTCTACATGAAGGATCTCTGTGAGTGAGACCCCAGCAGAAAGAAGTGGCCATCAAAGAAGGATGTACTTTCCTCTAAAGGAGGAGAGAACTTCCACTTTGCTTATGGCCTTGTGTAAATACTGATGGAGTTTGTGCATTTGAAAGGTTTTCATAGCCTAGGCAGCTCATGTCAAGAGCCTCGAGTGGTCACTGATGTCAAATAGATTTTTGTTAACTGTTAAATTAACAACAGGGGTCACTGTGTATGAACTCCCCATGTAGGACCTCTGTCCTCAATGAGGTGTATTTATGAGAGTTAACTGTAAATGTAGTTCTCAGTTTATGTGTTTATTTTGCATGTATGTTCACATTGTTGAAACCTTTACTTAGTATAGGGTTCATCTTCTGTGTTCAAAGTTAATTAAAAATGAATCTTAATGGAGAAGGGGCTGCAAAGGGGAGAGAGAGGAGGTGTAGGGGTGGGAGTGCATGTGGGAGGGTGGGTATGCTGTGAAGAATAACTATATTCCTAAAATTGTATTTATGAAATATGTATTCCTTTAAAAACTAATTAATTAGTTAAATAATAAATTTAGTGTTAAAAATTATGCTAAATTTTGAATTCATCCTCTACAGATGAAACGAAGGTACTTGAATACTATACAATTGAAATCATTTAATGTTATTTTCCTCATAATATTTTATATTTTACTTGGCATGAACTATTCATGCTTTCAAAATTGCCTTTCAAATATTTGCTGTAATAGTATCAATGTTCGTTGGGACCAATGAAATAAGAGGGGATCTCTGGCTTCACCATTCTAACATGCCACTGCACTTAGAATACGTAATTAATTATTGTGATAAATAATTATTCTGTCATAATTCTGCTATTAAAAAGATCACCCACATTGTAACATGAATTTCTGTACTTTCATACAAATACCAGAATAATTGGTTAGTTGGCAGAGAAGCATTTAACGAAAAACAATACTCATCACAAATAGAGAAGAAACTGGTATGTCATATAGGAATAAGGTGAATATGGATGAAAACTCTTAGAAAAACCTGAAACAGCTATGCGAGAATATACTTTCAACAAGCATCCCAATGCCTCTTATGAAAATACAAAGAATGTATTTTTCTAGTAGGATTTCTGAGTGCAAAAAAAAAATGAGTATAAGTAAGAAATGAACTTAAGCTTCCTTGATGAAACACATTAACTCCATGTCTTTCCAGGACTTACTGGCTTTGCGTGAACTACTGCCCTTGTGACTGAATGCCATCCAGGGCTCTGACCATGGGAATCATCTTTGTCTCTCAGACAGGAGTCGGATTCCTAGGAAACATCCTGCTCCTTCTCTGCTATGGCTTCCTTTCCTGCACTGGACGAGGGATAACACACATGGATTTGATTCTCCATAACCTAATTGTAGCCAACTGCTTGGTTCTTCTCTCAAAAGGCATTCCTCAGACCATGGCAGCTTTTGGGCTGAAATATCTCATGGACGATTTTGGATGCAAACTAGTTTTCTATGTTCATAGAGTGGCCAGAGGGGTGTCTCTGAGTGCTACTTCTCTCCTGAGTGGCTTCCAGGCCATCACAATCAGCCTTAGCAGCCCCCAGTGGATGCAGCTCAAGGTCAAAGCCCTCAAATCCATTCGACTTTCCATTCTGCTCTGCTGGACCCTTCACCTGTTGGCAAATAGTATTGTGCCTATGTATATTACAGCAATGAGGGAGAGAAGCAACCTCACAGAGAAAAAGGACTTAGGGTTCTGTTCTGGCTTAATTATTGACAGAAGTATATCCTTATTGTATTCCATGATGTTTTCCTTCATTGACGTGTTGTATTTGGTGTTAATGATTTGGGCCAGTGGCTGCATGTTGTTCATTTTGTACAGACATAAGCAGAAGGTCCTACACATTCACAGCAAAAACCTCTCTCCCAAATGCTCCCCGGAGACAAGAGCCACCCACAGCATCCTGATCCTAGTGAGCACATTTTTCTGTTTTTATGCACTGTCTTCCTTCTTTACTTTCTATATGTTTCTCTTTGATAAACCCAGCTGCTGGCTGGTGAATACCTCTGCCCTTATGGGTTCATCTTTCCCCTGTGTTAGCCCCTTTGTTCTCATCAGCAGAGACCTCCATGTCTCTAGGCTGTGGTATACGTGCGGCACAAAGATCAATGATTTTCGTAAACGGGTTATAGCATGAAAATCCAGAATGCTGCATACTGTCCATGTATCAGTTCACCCTGCCATATTTTATATAGTATTTACATTTGCTAAATCAGTTAGTGGATAGGATCAAAACAAGATAGATTGAGCGTGAACACAAAATTATTTCATTTAGCAGATAGCCAGGCATGGAACAAGGAGGGGCTTCTGATTTCTACTTTGCCTTCATCAAATGAGGGTGTTTTTCTTTCGTCTTTGTCCTCATGTGTCCTTAGCTTCATACAAACCCTACTGAATCTTCCCTTTACCGTTCAATCCTTTTAAAATCCTCATCTGATATATTATGATAGTAATGTCTACTCTCAGTTTTACATCTTTGATTAAATACATAAAATGAACTCCTAAAAATGTAAGATTACTTGCCTCACTCTGACTCTCTGGGGACTATCCAAAGACTGTGAATATATTTATGATACAGTTTACCTTCCTTGGTTCACTGGAGGAATTCTAAGTGATTTGAGAATCAAGAAGTTGCTATCATTGATTCTATAAGCATATTAAGTTGTAAACTCTTAGATAAATTCCAAACACAATTCCACAAGTTGAGCTAGAACAGGAATTCTGGAGGCAAAGTATAGTGGAAGAATATTGTCTTCATTCCTCAAAGGAAAGTTATGTGTAAGCCAATTGGAAAAATCCAGAGAAAAAGAAGGAAAAGTCTCTCTGGGACTGCATTCGATGACATTTTTGTGAACATGGTTTTTCTTTTTTTTTGTTAAAAAGATTTATTCATTTATATGTTAGAGTTATACAGAGAGAGGAGAGGAAGAGAGAGTGAGAGAGAGAGAGGTCTTCCATTCAATGGTTCTCTCCCTTCTTGTCTGCAAGAGCCGTGGCTGGGATGATCCAAAACCAGTAGCCAGGAGCTTCCTCTGGGTCTCCCATGTGGGTGCAAGGGCCAAAGGACTTGGGCCACCCTCTACTGCTTTCCCAGGCCATAGCAGAGAGCTGGATTGGAAGTGGAGCAGCTGGGTCTCGAACTGGTGCACATATGCGAGGCCAGTGCCACACTTTGGCATGGGAATGTCTGTAATCCATGAAAAAGACCAAGTCAAAGTGAACGATGACATGACAGCATTGGAGTACAAGGGGCAGCAGAGGGAACTTGAGCATAAACCCAGGTTCTTTTTCTGGTTGATCTGAGTTTTGTCTCCCAACCAGGATTCTGGTTTATTTCTCTGAAATATGCACAGTCACAGCCTTGAAGAATAAGACAAAGCAAGTGAAAAGGAGAGAACTGCCAGTGTGTTATAAATGGTTCATGGTCAAGTCCATGCCTTTATTTGTTACATCCATATACTCCTTAAGCACCTAAAGTACATAATATATTATCCTTCATGCATGTGATGTATCAGAGAAGTGAAAGACAGCTAGGAAAGAAACTTCCTGTATTGCAGCAATATTGTAATTGAGAATGGGACAGCAGATAAAATGTCAATAACAGATTAATTATGCAGTGTGCTACATGATGAGTGATTGGTCTGGGAGAAGCTGATTATGGGATGGGCAGGGAATGAGAAGATGCATTTTTTTTCACAGGCAGAGTGGACAGTGAGAGAGAGACAGAGCGACAGAGAGAAAGGTCTTCCTTTGCATTTGGTTCACCCTCCAATGGCCGCCACAGCTGGCGTGCTGTGGCCGACACACCGCACTGATCCAGAGACAGGAGCCAGGTGCTTCTCCTGGTCTCCCGTGGGGTGCAGGGCCCAAGGACTTGGGCCATCCTCCACTGCACTCCCTGGCCACAAAAGAGAGATGGCCTGGAAGAGGGGCAAACTGTACAGAATCTGGCACCCTGACCGGGACTAGAACCCGGTGTGCCGGTGCCGAAAGTGGAGGATTAGCCTATTGAACCGCAGCACCGGCCCAGAAGATGCATTTTTAAAAATTTATTTGAAAGGTAGTTTTACAGACCGAGAGAGAGAAGGAGAGAGAGAGAGAGAGAAAATCTTCCTTCCATTGGTTCACTCTCCAAATACCCACAACGGCTGGAGCTATGCCGATCAGAAGCCAGGAACCAGGAGTTTCTTCCTGGTCTCCCATGTGGGTGCAGTGCTCAAGCACTTGGACCATCTTCCACTGCTTTCTGAGGCCATAGCAGAGAGCTGGGTTGGAAGTGGAGCAGCCAGGTCTTGAACTGGAACCCACAGGGGATGCCAGTGTGCAGGCGGCAGCTTTGCTGGCTACGCCACAGCACTGGCCCCATCCCATCAATCTTGAACATGTGTACTTTTCAAGAACCTTCAGAAAAATATCTCATATCGATATTTATCAGGGTTCCAAAGCTAGAAAAAGAAAAATAGAATTAAATTTTCACACAATATTTCTTACAAGGTTTTCTAAGAAATATCCGATTTCCATAAAAATCGATATCTTACCCAAAAGGAAGATCCCCTTACAAAATGACATTTCCTGAAGAGACAGTGTCTGTCATGATTTCGGAATACATGTGGACAGGTGAAATAAATGCAGACTCGGCCTGCGAGGTCCACAGTGCTGGGGTGGGGCGATGCGTTCTTTAGCAAGGAGCGCCAGGGACAAGTTATGGCAAACGTGTCCATTTTATTAACCATCAAGCTCACCTTTTAAAGGGCAGGCAGCTAATTCAGGGCAACACTAATTCTGTAGGATAGAGGCAATACTGGCACTGCTATGTTTCTCCAATCAGCTTGAAGGTCACTTGGCTACAGTAGCTTTCCAGGAGGTCCTACTGGGTCTGGGCTTCACCCGGGAGCTGTTTCCCTGACTGGTAATTTCAAGACCCTTCAACAGGGATGGGAAGGAGGTGGGGGAAATGTGCCTGGTGCTCCTGCCACCTGCAACAGTCAGGCCATCCTGGGAGGCGTGGTGTACCACACCCTCCTTACCCATGCATGGGGGAGGCAGGCAATCCCCCAGCTAGGCACAGAATCACCCACAGTGACAGTGTCTGTCATGATTACGGAATGTGGGTAGACAGGTGAAATAAAGACGGGCCAGAATGAAGTCAACTCTTCCTAGGGAAAAACTATCATTTCACTTGGAGCTGCCATGACCATGTCTAAATGGGGACTTGTGTTTGCCTCAGGAGAAACCATGTGCAGCAATCATGTGAGGGCACAGCCAAAAGATGTGGTCAACCAGGAAGCTTTCCCTCAACAGGCACCAAACCCACTGCTTCCTTGAACTCGACTTCCAACCACCAGAGTGGGTGCAGAAGGTGCTCTTCTTTGTCCAGTCTCTCACCCAGGCCTAGAAAAAGGCCTAGACCTAGACCAGGTTGCCCCAGATGCCACCTGGGACAGAAATCAGAGAGTAGAATAGGAGGAGCTAGCACAGGGATTTTCATAAGTAGCACAAAAGGATGACTTCTGGGGTGGAAATGCATTACCAACTCTGCCCCAATCACTTGCTGGGACTGTCTAGACTGCCTACAGACTCTCACAGATCTTTCTCATTTCCACACTACTTCTTGCACTGTTCCAGAGCCTTGCCTTTGTTAGCTGAGATTTCAAGTTCTTGCACAAGACCTGGGGTTTTTCCAAAACAGTGTTCAGCAAGAAGTTGCCAAGTGCAGTGTGAATGCCCAGATGGTGAAACCCAGTGCCTAGGAGCCGTAGTGGTCAAGTTCAGCATCTCCCAGGCATGTCTGGAGCTGACATGAACTTTGACCTTAAGGCTCAGCTCAGGGAACTGTAGATCGTGGTGGTTGGAAATCGAAGTTGGTGGTGGTTGGAAAGGGATCATAATCTTTGTTCCTGTTCCTCAACTGAAACCTCCAGAAAATCCAAGTCCAGCTGGTATGTGAACTGGGGAAAACTTCAGTGGGAAGAATATTGTCTTCATTCCTCAAGGGTGAGTTCTGCCTGAGCCAACTGGAAAAACCTAGAGAAAAACAAGCAGAAGCTTCCCTGGGGCCACACTCCTTGCCCTCCTTACAGACTCGAGCTTTCTAAGTGAAATCACGGACCACAGGACCCATGTGTGATTGGATGGTAGCTAGCTCATAAGGTTCTTCTGAACAAAGTGCAAAAGAACAGTGTGCAAAACAAGGCTGAAATTTTTCTGGTGTCTGTAAGATGTTAATTTTGAATTCCCAGAGTTTCAATGGCCAAAAACATGACTAATTAATGTATCATTCACATTTTTTAAGAATGCAAACTGTTGATATCACAGAAAGCTGTTATTCTAAACTAGTTAATTTATCCAGAGATAGATGAGGCAAGAATGAAAATGAGAAGGCATTTTGTAATACATGAAAGAGACTGGTGCTGTGGCATAGTGGGTAAAGCCACCACCTGCAGTTCTGGCATCCCATATGGGTGCTGGTGTGAGTCCCGGCTGCTCTACCTCTGATCCAGCTCTCTACCATGGCCTGGGAATGCAATGGAGGATGGCCCAGGTCCTTGGGCCCCTGCACCCATATGAGAGACCATGGGGAGGCTCCTGATCCTGGCTTTGTATCAGCACAGTTCCGGCCATTGTTGCCATCTGGGGATTGAACCAGCAGAGGTAGGACCTCTCTCTCTCTCTCTCTCTCTCTCTCTCTCTCTCTCTCTCTCTTTCTCTTTCTCTCTTACTCTTCTTCTCTGTGGAACTCTGATTTTCAATTAAAAAATAAATCTTTAAAAAAAGAGAGAGAGACCAGGTGGAAATGACAGATGATATAAGGGCAGTAAGATGGAAGGAGTGAGAGGGGAATTCCGAAGATAAAGCCAGGTTGTGTTTCTGTCTGACCCAGGGGTTTCGTCTCCCAATTACGAACATTATGAATATGTTTTGTTCATCAGAACTATGCCCAGTAATAGCCTTAAAGAATAAGACAAAGAAAAGGAAAGGGGGGAATTAAAATAATGTTGCTAATGAATCAGGAGAAAGTCAAGAAAATTTCCTTCAGTGTGTTTTAATAAACACTTGTGGAATACTTCATGTGTATTTACCATTGTCTCTGTGTCTGAGATGTATCACAGGAAAAAACTGACAACAAGCTAATCAGGGGATGCATAGTGCAGGGGTGCGTGTGGGATGTAAAGTAGTAAGTGTAGGTGGTGCCACGGCTCACTAGGCTAATCCTCCGCCTTGCGGCGCCGGCACACCGGGCTGCAGCATGCTGGCCGCGGCGGCCATTGGAGGGTGAACCAATGGCAAAGGAAGACCTTTCTCTCTGTCTCTCTCACTGTCCAATCTGCCTGTCAAAAAAAAAAAAGTAGTAAGTGCAGGCCTGATTGAAAAGATGATACTGGGTGGCTGGCACTGTGGCACAGTGGGTTATGCCCCAGCCTGCCGTGCCATATCCCATAGGGATGCCGATTCAGGTCCAGGCTGCTCCTCTTCTGATCCAGCTCTCTACTATGGCCTGGGAAAGCAGTAGAAGATGGCCAAAATCCTTGGGCTCCTGCACCTGCATGGGAGATCCAGAAGAAGCTCCTGGCTCCTGGCTTTGGATCAGCGCAGTTCCGCCATTGCTGCCAACTGGGGAGTGAACCAGAGGATGGAAGACCTCTCTCTCTGTCTCTGCCTCTCTCTGTTACTTTGTCTTTAAAATAAATAAAATAAATTAAAAAAGAAAAGAAAAAATAATGATGATATTGGACTCGAGAATGAAAGTAGATGAACAAGACTTAATGTGAATATTTAGGTGGATATGACCAAAAATAAGGCACAAGTTGTTCCAGCAGAGCCAGGCAGCTGGTGTATATGGAACCAGGAAAATGAGAAGCAGCGTGGACAACAAGAGGTTAGACAGGCAACGCAGGAGTAGCTCTGAGGCTCCATAAGATACCATAGGTTACTTTCCTCAGGAAAACATGGATACTGCGGGGCATAACCAGAAATTATCATTTGTGCCTTGTACACTGAGTCACATTGGCTGGTGGGTTGAGAGCTGACTTCCAAAGCAACAAAGGTGGTGCAAGGAAGCCAGGTTGACGTGCACTGCAAAAACTCAACTGAAAGAGGGTGGTGGGAGGCAGCCATTCAGGATGAGAGGACTTAGTCCTGCAGTTGCTACTGTGCTTTCCCAGGCTTCCTCACCCCCTTACCTAGCAACTGCTTACTTTTGGGTTCTTTCCTAACATCCTATTTTCTCAGGAATCTGAGGAGTCAGGGTCAAACCTCAGCATGAACATAGGTAGCCGCATGGTGAGCACTCTGGTTTGCAGTCTCACAACACAAATCTCTGTCCCCAAATGAGAGAGACTGTCAGTTTCAATGGAACACAGTCAAGTTTTTCTCAAACTGTTACTTTCTGATCCTTTGGAGAGACTTAGTAACCACTAGGAATTGTTTCTGGCAATTGGTAGGAGAGACAACAGTTTTTCAGAGTTACCCTGGCTCCCCAAGCCGTCACTCTCATCATTGAAACAGGTGCCAGGATAATCATAGCTCTAGAGGGAACCCAGGTTAGAGAATTCTAAATGATCTCTTCTGGGTCTTGTGGCCTCCCCACAACCCATGCTCTGTCATCACTGGGCCATCCTCCTGGAAAAAGACATCCTTTTAGGGACTACACCTTCATCTGGGGACAGAAGCTCCATAGAAAATGGCTCTGAATCAGTCTAGAAAGGGAAGATACCTAGAAACATTGAGATCCATGACAAAGGCAGCACTGGAGTGTAAATAAGCTTCCAAAGAGGAGGGAGGGATGGCTGCTAAGCCATAACCCAGACTTCTCAAAAGCAGCTGCAGGTAAGAAGCTCCTTGTCTGTCTCTGATCTCTCATTTCAGTAGTGTGATCACCTGTGATGCTGGTTCAGTGTGGAACATGGCAATGAGAAGGTCGTAGGTTTGGGTTTGCAGGAATTTCAGGAGTCATACACTTATTATTTCCATGTGTGTGATAAGGAATCATAAAACTTGCTAACTCCTCACCTCGTGAGCAGTCACTAGGTAAGAAAATGATCATTTGTGGAATTTGAAAACTATGTTATTCTGATTCTGAGACCCTGGTTTGATTAAAAGAGACAGTGATTGTTTCTCTCTCAATAAGCATGGTCTGTAAAAGAATTTTCCCCTCTTGAATGAGAAAAGGAAAGCAGTCTTAAAGAGACAAAGGATTTCATCAATACAGATGTCTGTGCAAAACCATCCAGCATCTTTAACTGATATTTGATTCTAAAATGAACTCTGATATTTTTACCTAGTTTCCAAAATCATGTTTTAATGCATTCTTAAGTCCATTTATTCACACTTTAATTCAATTTTTTGACAGGCAGAGTTAGACAGTGAGAGAGAGAGAGACAGAGAGAAAGGTCTTCTTTCTGTTGGTTCACCCCCCCATATAGCCACCACAGCCGGCGTACTGTGCCGATCCAAAGCCAGGAGCTAGGTGCTTCCTCCTGGTCTCCCATGCGGATGCAGGACCCACGCACTTGGGCCATCCTCTACTGCCTTCCTGGGCCTCAGCATAATTCAGTTTCCTCATTGATAGTTGCCAATGCCTTCCAGTCTCCTTTAATCAGTTGATTCAATAAAGAGCTGAATATGGATGTGCATTTGTGTGTGTGAGAGAAGGAGACATAGCATCTGTGTATTGCTAGGGAGAAGAACATATTTAATTTCTCTAACAGCTATAGTGGAGTGATGCATATTGGTGTATGTTAATAAAAGTAATAGCCTTGGAGAAAAATTAATGTCTATGAAGCCAAATTCTGAAGTTTTATAAAAAGGAGAAAAAAACAAGAAGATAAAACTTATGTTCAGTTAACTGGTGAGAACAGGAACTCTGACACGTTTCACTGATATTTTGACATATACATATATAATTCAACACACTGTCTGAGTTCATCAAACTGCCCCATGCATGACTATATAGTGTGCTTGGTTTGGCCTGAGCATGAGTTACCTGTGATATAGAGTGCTTTGGCATTGCTCCTCTGAAGAAGCTGTAAAATATATATTTCTTCTAATTTTTCCACTGGTGTTCTACAGTGCTCAAGAGTTCCACTGTCCCCCACATCACTATGTGCCACCATCTGACAAGACACCTCCTTGGGTACGTCACCTGATCAGATGCTGTCTACTACCCTAGCTGGGTTAAGTAATCAGAATTCCTTCTATTTCTGTAACAACGCGATGTGAACTTACATTATTGGCTTCCTTATGTGTTTTACAGAAGCACCACAGTCGAGTGCATAAACTTCATGGAATATTTTGATAAAGGATAAAGCACAAAATGTCTTGCTCACATTTATGTTTTAAATTATTCTTCAAAAACTCTTTTATAACTTGCTAGTTCGTATTCATCTAGTTATCCATGTACATAATTTAGGTTAAATAATTCAGATATATTGAGAGCTGATTAGAAATGTAATGATGCTACAGTTGTGTTGTGTAACACTGGAGCGCCATCAAAATTGGTCCCAGCTCACGGCACTGTGCCTCTGTCTTTTTATGAATTTTATTAATGCCTTCAGAATTATGTTGTCACTTTCTGGTACTTTGGTGTTCTACTATCTTATTGCTCTGTATTCTGGTTCTTTTTGTCATGATTCAGACTTTGGAATTTCAAGATGTACTTAAGAGCCTTAAATATATTTTTTATGATGACTGATATTGAAATGCATGGATATTATAGACTTTGTCTTTTATTTTATTTGACCATCATTAATTCTACTAAAATGTTAATTAATCTTCTACTAAAGAGACTTGAATTTTGTACAAATAGAGTCTTTTGATGTTTTTCTTTATAGTATTTTATATTTTAATGTGCATGTGCTGTTATTCTTGGTACATTCTAATGTCTAAGTATTTGCTGTGATTGTGGTCATAGTACATTTGTGTCCAAATGAAATAAGAGTAAATCTTTGGCTTCACCATTTTAATACAGAACTGCACTAAGACTGTATAATTTAATGTTTTCATAATGAATTATTCAGTCACTCTTCTCCTACAAAATTGTGCATCCATTTTGCAATTTGAATTTCTGATTTTTCATACAAATATGAGACTGCTCTATGGAATAATGAGGTCAGCAGAGGAGTGTTTGAACAAAGACTATGTAGAAGGATGTCATAACACAATGAGACAAGAAAATGATATATTACAGGAACAAGATAAATACGGAGGAAAAATGTTAGAAAAATGTCACCAAAACACACACACACACACACACACACCCCACAAGAATACACATACAACAAACATCCAAATGCATCTTAAGAAAATACCAGGGCTGGTGCTGTGGCATAGCAGGTAAAGCCGCCACCTGCAGTGCCAGCATCCCATTTGGGTGCTGGTTCCTATCTTGGCTGCTCTACTTAGGATCTGGTGCTCTGCTAAGGCCTGGTAAAGCAGTAGAAGCTGGCCCAAGACCTTCAGTCCCTGCACCAATGTGGGAGACCTGGAAGCAACTCTTGGCTCCTGACTTCACATCGGCACAGCTCCAGCCATTGAGCCCAATTGGGGGAGTGAATCAACAGATGGAAGACTTTTCTCTCTCTCTCTCTCCATTTACTCCTCACTATGTACAACTCTGACTTTCAAATACATAAATCTTTTAAAAAATACAAAGAACGTATTTTTCTTTTTTTTTTTTTGACAGGCAGAGTGGATAGTGAGAAAGGTCTTTAATTTCCATTCCACCCCCCAGTGGCCTCTGCGGCCAGCTAACTGTGCTGATCCAAAGTCAGGAGCCACTGATTCTCCGGGTCTCCCATGTGGGTGTAGGCCGAAGGACTTGGGCCATCCTCCACTATACTGCCGGGCCAAAGCAGAGAGCTGGACTGGAAGAGGAAGAATCAGGACAAAATCCGGTGCCCTGACCAGGACTAGAACCCAGGGTGCCAGCGCTGCAGGTGGAGGATTGGACTATTGAACAATGTATTTTGCTAGCAGGCTTTTCTGAGTGGGAAAAAAATGGGTGGAAGTAAGAAATAAACGTAAGCTACCTTGATGAACTACATTAGCTCCATTTCTTTCCATGACTCACTGGCTTTGTGTGAACTACTGCCCTTGTGACTGCTTGCCATCCAGGGCTCTGACCATGGGAATCATCTTTGTCTCTCAGACAGGAGTCGGATTCCTAGGAAACATCCTGCTCCTTCTCTGCTATGGCTTCCTTTCCTGCACTGGACGAGGGATAAAGCACATGGATTTGATTCTCCATAACCTAATTGTAGCCAACTGCTTGGTTCTGCTCGCGAGAGGCATTCCTCAGACCATGGCAGCTTTTGGGCTGAAATATCTCATGGACGATTTTGGATGCAAACTAGTTTTCTATGTTCACAGAGTGGCCAGAGGGGTGTCTCTGAGTGCTACTTCTCTCCTGAGTGGCTTCCAGGCTATCACAATCAGCCTTAGCAGCCCCCAGTGGATGGAGCTCAAGGTCAAAGCCCTCAAATCCATTCAACTTTCCATTCTGCTCTGCTGGACCCTTCAACTCTTGGTAAATAGTATTGTTCCTATGTATATTACAGCAATGAGGGAGAGCAACAACCTCACAGAGAAAAAGGACTTAGGGTTCTGTTCTGGCTTAATTATTGACAGATGTATATCCTTATTGCATCCAATGACATTTTCCTTCATTGATGTGCTCCACAACATGAAAACAAACAACCCACTTAAGAGATGGGCCAAGGACCTCAATAGAAATTTTTCAAAAGAGGAAATCCAAATGGCCAACAGGCACATGAAAAAATGTTCAAGATCACTAGGAATCAGGGAAATGCAAATCAAAACCACAATGAGGTTCCACCTCACCCCGGTTAGAATTGCTTACATTCAGAAATCTACCAACAATAGATGCTGGAGAGGATGTGGGGAAAAAGGGACACTAACCCACTGTTGGTGGGAATGCAAACTGGTTAAGCCACTATGGAAGTCAGTCTGGACATTCCTCAGAAACCTGAATATAACCCTACTGTTTGACCCAGCCATCCCACTCCTTGGAATTTACCCAAAGGAAATTAAATTGGCAAACAAAAAGCAGTCTGCACATTAATGTTTATTGCAGCTCAATTCACAATAGCTAAGACCTGGAACCAACCCAAATGCCCATCAACAGTAGGCTGGATAAAGAAATTATGGGACATGTACTCTATAGAATACTATACAGCAGTCAAAAACAACAAAACCCAGTCATTTGCAACAAGATGGAGGAATTTGGAGAACATCATTCTGAGTGAATTAAGCCAGTCCCAAAGGGACAAATATCATGTTCTCCCTGATTGGCGACAACTAACTGAGCACCAAAGGGGAAACTTGTTGAAGTGAAATGGACACTATGAGAAACAGTGACTTGATCAGCTCTTGTCCTGACTGTTGATGTACAATGTAATACTTTATCCATTTTAGTATTTTTTTTTTGTTCTAGTACCATTGGTTGAACTCTGTAATTAACACAAAATTATTCTTAGGTGTTTAAATTTTAACTGAAAAGTGATCCCTGTTAGGAATTTGGAAAATATTATGTTGAGTGAAATAAGCCAATCCCAAAGGGACAAATACCACTTGTTCTCCTTGATAGGTGACAACTAACTGAGCACCAAAAAGGAAACCTGTTAAAGTGAAATGAACACTATGAGAAACAGTGACTTGATCAGCCCTCACCTTGACTGTTGATGAGCAGCTTAATATGTTATCCCTCTTAATATTTTTTTTTGTTTGTTCTACTTAATACTTTTGGTTGAATACTGTAATCAATACACAATTCTTCTTAAGTGCTGAAACTTAACTGAAAAGTGACCGCTGTTAAATATAAGAGTGGGAATAAGAGAGGGAAGAGATGTGCAATTCGGCACATGCTCAAGCTGACTTGCCTCAAACAGTAGAGTTAGAAATATACCAGGGGATTCGAATTCAATCCCATCGAGGTGGCATGTACCAATGCCATCTCACTAGTCCCGGTGATCAATTTCTGTTCACAATTGATCATAATGTTAGGACTAAGAGCCAAAGGGAGCACATAAACAAGAATAGTGTCTGCAAATACTAGCTGATAGAATCAAAAAGGGAGAGAATGATCCAACATGGGAAGTGAGATACACAGCAGACCCATAGAATGGCAAATGTCCTAACAGCACTCTGGCCTCAGAGTCAGCCCTTAAGGCATGCGGATCCAGCTGAAATGCCCATGAGAGTATTTCAGGCATGGAAAGCCAAGACACTCTGGGGGAAAAAAAACCTAAATGAAAGATCTCCGTGAGTGAGATCCCAGTGGAAAGAATGGGTCATCAAAGAAGGAGGTACCTTTCTCTGAAGGGAGGAGAGAACTTCCACTTTGACCATGGCCTTGTCTAAAAATGATCAGAGTCAGTGAACTCAGGGGGCTTCCAAAGCCTTGGCAGCTCATGACAAGAGCCTAGGGTGATTACTGATGCCATAAACAAGAGTGTCCATTTGTTAAGTCAACAACAGGAGTCACTGTGCACTTACTCCTCATGTAGGATCTTTGTCCTTAGTGTGCTGTACATTGAGATTTAATGCTATAACGAGTACTCAAACAGAATTTTTCACTTTATGTTTCTGTGCGGGAGCAAACTGTTGAAATCTTTACTTAATGTATGCTAAACTGATCTTCTGTATATAAAGAGAATCGAAAATGAATCTTGATGTGAATGGAAGGGGAGAGGGAGTGGATAAGGGGAGGGTTGCGGGTTGGAGGGACGTTATGGGGGGAAGCCATTGTAATCAGTATTCTGTACTTTGGAAATTTGTATTCATTAAATAAAAGTTAAAAAAAAAGACCAGGTGAAAATGACAGAGGACATGAGGCCATTGAGGTACAGGGAGCAACAGAGGGAAGCTGAGCACAAAGCAAGGCTGTGTTCCTGGCCATGCTGAGGGTTTTGTCTCCCATCCAGGATTCTGGTTTATTTCTCAAAAATGTGCACAGTCACAGCCTGGAAGAACAAGACAAAGAAAGTGGAAAAGGAGAGAATTGTCAGAGTGTTATAAATGGTTCATGATCAAGTCAAGAAACTTTGATGGGGCCAGCATTGTGGTTTAGTGGGTTAAATCAGCAGCTGTAATACCGCCATCACATGGGCTGGGGTGGGGGCACTGGTTCAACTCCCAGCTGCTTAGCTTCCAATCCAGCTCCCTGCTTATGCACTTGGGAGAGCAGCTGGAGTTGGCCTAAGCACTTTGGTCCCCACCACCTACGTGGGAGACCTGTATGAAGTCCTGGACTCCTTGCTTAGGCCTGACCTAAGCTTTGGGAGTTGAAGCCATTTGGGAAGTGAACGACAGGATAGACCATCTCTCTTTTGTCTCTAGGTATCTCTCTGTCACTCTGGTTTTCAAAGAAATAAAGTAATACTTGCAAAAATGGAAACTTTCATTGATGGTGTCAACAAACACAAGTGGAATACCTAATATGTATCATCCATTATCAACTGTGTATGGGAGAAAATGGAGCACAAGCCACTTAGGGTTGAATTCTTCATGGGTGAGTGTTAATGAGATATTAGGTAAGCCAATAGGAGGAGGCCTTATTGGAAAGATGATATTTGAGGCTAGACTTGAAAGGAGATAAGGAAGACAGTCACATGAATACTGAGACGATTTGACCACAATAGAAGAAACAGGCTATTCCAGGAAAGCCTGGAAAGTACATGGAACCAAGAGAGTAAGCAGCAGCATGTCAAAGAGGAGGATTGACAGGCTACAGAGGATGAAGTCTTCGACATCCATAGAA